CATCAATCAAAGGTGTCTTTGTTCAAGGGCTAGAAGTTAAGGTTTTGGTCTGTTTATTTTCACATTTATTTCATCTAATATCATCAAACCTTACTCAAAAATTGAGTTTAAGTGATTAATATTTAATATCACTACATTAATGTTTTCAAAACTTATAGACTATCAAGTAATATTTAAATCAAAATAATAATAAACTAGAGACACTCGTTTTTTTTTATAGAAAAAACATCATTCAATATATGAAATAGACAGAATACAAATAAAGTGAAATATTTTAAGTTAGGGCATTTCACGTCCATATTCTAACAACAACACTAAAAATTAAGCCAATAAATATTTGAACATTCATAAACATAGAAAAGTTGGAAACCAGAAATGTATAGCTAATCTCATTCCTTAAACCAAGCAACCAAACAAATTTCTCCCACAAAATAGAGTTGAGTTTAGTTTTAAATCTATAAAATTACCTATTATTTCTTTAGTTTTGGATCACACAATTCGATTATACAGGTTCTTGAGATTAAATAAACTCATCATTCGTTGACGAATCGTTTGTTGAGTGAAAAAGAAAAATTGATTTGTAACCGTCATTATCAAATTCACACTCTTCAACACTTTTTCAACGACCAAACATATTTGAGACATTTCAACAAACACCTTGAGAGAAAATTTAAAATAAATTGAACTTAAAAACAATCTCAGAGTTTGCAGATCTTTTAATGGTGGAGGCTCTGGAGGAGGATGTTTCCTATATTTGTTCAATTTTGCCCCCTTAATTGGTGAAGACGGTTGCTGAACTACAAGATTCAATAGTTTTTGGCGGAGGGAAGTGAAACAACAATGAAGGTTGCATGCAACGGAGGAATGAGAAGAATAGAGGAAAATCTCACAATAGAGAAAAAGCTCCACAAAAGAGAGTATCAGAAAAGCACACATGTCCTATAAAAAAGACGACATCGGTCATCTATAACCACAACCTTAACTAGAGACATACTCGTTAAGAGTTTAAAAATATATATTTTTGTTTAAAATTATTTGTATTCAATGTATTAAAAATTAAAACAGTTGACATTTTTAAATAATAAAAAATATATTTTTCTTTAAAACACTTATATTCCATACAATATTTTCTTTATTTTAAATTTTTAAAAAATATTTCTGAAACATTTGTTAGCATCACTCATAAATAAATATTAAAAGTACAGCAATAAAAACTATAGTCTAATTATTTTACACTATAAATAAAATTAATTCTTTGAATAATCGGTTCTAAGTTCAACTAATGGGATTCTCTAATTAGTCTCATTTTAATAACATTTAGAAGTAGTTTGTTTTGATTTATTTTAAATAATTTTTATAGTGTAATATAATTTTGTGTAAAAATTTTTTTATAAAAACTTAAAATGAAAATTTAAATTAAATAATTATTTTTTAAATATTATTTTAGATATTGTACCATTTTAGTAAAATTTTGTTGGATATAAAAAATTCAAAAAATTATTTAATTTTGAAACTATTAGAAATATTTTTTTTATCAAAATCATTTTAAAATACAATTTTTTAAAAATTTGCGATTTTGATAATATTTCGATCTTCAATAATATATTTTTATGTTATAGGATCAAAATTAATATTCAATTTAAGAAAATAAATATAAAAAACTTATAATATTTAAAAAACAATTTTGTAAAATTCATTTTAAAAATACAAAAAAAAAACTATTTTTTAAAACTAAAAATAGGTCTTTAGTCCTTCAAAAAAATATTTTTCATGATCATGGTTCAAATCTACATTCATGAATTTCAATTTCACATTACTCACATTTCACACATGTTTTGAGCCTATATATATCTTTAAAAAATGATGCAAAACGTATAATTTTATTTCATAAAAGGGCATGCAACATTTTTTATTCAGTACTACACTTTTATTTTATTTGTACTTAATTGTCAAATTTTTTATCATTTAAAGTAACAGGCATTTTATTCTTAAGAATTTGCTATAATCTCAATAAAAAAGTTAGTTATTTTAAATCACACCCACACATACATAACTTGTATATGTTAGTACGAAGTTGATTATTGAATTTGTATATTTAAAACATAAACATCTTAATTATTTTTTTAATGTTATTTTATAACTATATTTAAAAACATGTTTATTGATAAAACAACGAACAAAATTTATAAACAAAAAATGTAAGAATGATTCTTTGCTCAACTTCTATAGTTGAAATAGTTGAAATATGATAACATAAATATTTCTTTTGGTTGTAACAATCTTATAATTAAAATGCTCGTGAAAAAAGCTTGCAAGAAGAAAACACACACTTTTTTTCTTTGTCTTAAAATTTGACGTTTTTGTTATGAATATTTGAGTTATGAATTAAAAGTTAGTGTATTGACGGTGTAAAATAATTTTATACTATTATTCAATGAAAATTTATCATTTGATTATATTATATAATTTATTTAAAAATAATAGTGATTTGACATTTAACATGGTTGTAATTGGTTGACAGTGTAAAATTATTTTACATTATCGATATATATCATTTATTCTCTTAAGTTATATGAAATTGTAAAACTTAAAGGAGATTGCAAAAGTTACGGTGGAACGAAACTTCCTAAGCGATTTGGCGATGCAACATCTTGGACCGAAGGTTGCAATCTTGATGCATCTTGAATCAGAGACGTTGATTTTGATCTGGCATTGCTAATCTCCGTTACGGTGGATCAAATGGGGGGTGTCTGCATGGTTAACATTCCAATGCGCAAGTCAGTTTAGGGTTCAAGATAATCATAGCGAGAGTGGAGGTTAGATATTGTCTCTGAAACCCTTTTGTAATTGTAATTATACTTTGGACTCAATCGAGCGGACATGATGAATGGATCTTATCTTATTGGGCCTTTGGCCAATCTACAATAGTTTCCTACAAGACTCATCGGGCACTCTGGGTGTGTGAAGAGTCTTTTATTAGTTGTTGTCGGCCTTCAGGAATGGTTGTCCATGCATCGGCGGGCATGCATGATTCAACTTTGCCAAAGAGTGATGGGGAACATAAGCATTAAATGCAGTCTCATTATTACAACGTTTCGTCGTTTTTCTAAGGACATGTGATCTGAAAAGGTAGAGAGTGGTGCGATGTTGTTTATTAAGCACTTGAGTTTGATTATGTCTTCAAGGTGAAATCTGACAGTTGGTTTGCACTTGCTCCTTATTTTCAATCCAATTCGTCTGATTGACTTCAATTATATAAGGGTGGAGGAAATTTGGGGGAATTTTTGCAACCTATCCGATTGAATTTTTCTTATTTCCTTGAAGTCTTTCCCTCTTCTCTTAGAGTGTTTTCCTTGGAGTAACTGCCATCACGCATTCAAAGCTTCAACTTTTAGCTTTCTCCTTTGTTTCACTTCCTTTGAACTTTCACTTCAAGTACCTTCTCCCAACTTAAACTATATCTTCAATCATTTAATGTCTCTTTTTTAAACTGGGTGATAACCCTAATATCATAAAGAGTGATTTAGAAGGTCGCATTTCTTCCTCTTCGAAAAGGGGAATGAAGTCTGAATCACATTACTTTTCCTCTGTCAGTGGGGATTTCAAATAGGAGATTATCTCTCTGATTGATGATTATAAAATGGAAGGAGTTTTTGGGGACTCCTTTTTTGAAAGAGATTTTTCCAATGATTCTTCAGGAGCTCTATTTTCAGGGAAGGACGATGGAGGTGAGGATCCTATCGAGAAACTAATGCCTCCATCTTTCTTGACTAAGGAAGAAATATAAATTGTATGGAAAATGAGGGAACATCTCGGTAACTTTTTCCAGCTATATCAGGGGATGAATGGTTATGAGCATAGTGATGCTGAAATCATACTTCAATTTGAGTACTTGGGAAACTCTAGTGTTGTACCTTGGATCATACTCGTTGATCACTTTAAAGTTGATGAACTGGCGCAAATGGAGATTCGGTTAGATGAGCTGAATAATGACAATAAATACCATTGGGTGGCCGCTGAAGTGATACTGATTCCTTCCACTCTAAACATTGTTACGAATATAATCAATGTTGATGTTATGGTCGGAAACCCTTCGGATTGGTCGGTTCTTCCAGTAGATCCGATGGAGAGGATATGCACCTTTTTTTAGGGTTGCTCAGTTCCTGAGTATGAATGCCTCTTTACTAGATTAGAAGTATTTTTCCCTTTTATGATTTCAAGTTGGTTGTGATGAACCGTCTGAGAGTTTCTACCTCATAACTTCATCCTAGAGCTTGGACTTGCATGAAGGTGTTTCAACTTTGTGCCGAGCGTAAATCTTGAAAACCTTCTCTTGAGCTCTTTTTTTACCTCATTTATGCGGCTCACACGTCTCGTGATGACGTCCAGGATCAAGGATTGATTGCCCTTTGTCCAAATGTTCCTTAGTTTAAATATTTTACCAATGATTAGGGTAATTTCATTGAACTTTTTTATGCTGGTTAAACCTATTACTCCCGAGACCTACTTTGCATTCTACTTGTCCGCGACCTCGATTGGATTCACTCGATTTTGCAAGAGTGGTTTTTTTGAAGTACTAGTATGAAGTTCACTTGTGTCGGCCCCCTTCCCTTTTACCATACCGAGATAAGTCCCTTATCCTCATAGGAGTTAAAAATGAAGGAGGATATGTGCACTTAGTATCAAGGGCTCGACTATGAAGAAGTATTTGGTCCTGGAAAAGTGCCTTCGTCTCAACGAAAGAAGAAGCAGATTGATACTTATGTAATTATCAGTGCACTCGACCATGCAGAGATGCAAGAACTTTTTGGTTAGGATGGGGACTCGAGGCACCTTTTTTTTAACAAGTGTAACTTGTACCTTGCAAATAACATGAATAAGTTATAGAAGCTTCTCATGCTCTCAAAGGACAAGGGTCTTAGGACAGACTCATTAGGTCAATGGTGGAGACTTCAGCTACTGCGTCTACTCCTGTTGTAGTTGTTCAGGCACCGCTTATAATGACGACCCCAATGATTTCTTTGACTACTATCTCTGGTACCACTCCAGGGGTGGAGCATCTTATAATTGTGTCGGCCAACAACTTTGTTTGTGAACCTTCCCAATACCCTTCTCATACTAAGAGGAATTCAAGTGACTTTTCGTTTACTCCTGTTGAAGGAGGTTCTTCTAAACGGAGGCTCTTACTCATTTCTTTCGGATTTTTTCCAGTCTTCCCTCTCGGGTACCCAATACCCTAGAGGAATTTGCTACTGTTGTGGCCACTGAGAACCTAGCTTTCATCCAAAACTTTGTGAATGACAGGTGGGGTCTTTTGTAGATGCTTCTCGTTGCCTATACAAGGCTAGATCTCTGGTTTCGATGGTAGCGGACGACCAATATGATGTATTAGGTTCTGGAAACCTTGCTAGGTAGCGGGATGAATTGAGGGAGACGTGTGAGGCCTTCGAGCTTGAGAACTTAAAATCTGAGCAGGAATTGGTTGAGTTGCAGAAAAAGGTTGATCTTTCTAACTCTTTTCAGGAGAAGGTACTACGATACGTCTCTTTGAAAATGGGGTATTTGATTTTTGTAGTTGGATGTGCCAAGCGTCTCCAATAGCACCCCTTTGGGAATTGGTTATTGTAGTCAGAAGTGCAAAGCGTCTTTGATAGCTCCCCTGAAATATTTAGGCACTCTCGGTGTTGTAGGGTATTAATTGATTTAGTCGAACATACAAAATGTCTTCGACAACATCCTTGAAATCTTTAAGCAGGTTCGATGCTGTGGGAAATTGATTATTGTAGTCAGATGTGCAAAGCATCTTCGACAGCATCCCTGAAATCTTTATTTCAAGAGTCAACTGCTTTAGTTGTACCCTAGTTCGTTGTTACGTGTGTTCACACTTTGGTGTGTAAAGAGGGAACAAGACAGGAAGTAGAGAAACAAGAATATAATAGCTATATATATATATATATATATATATATATATATATATATATATATATATATATATATATGTGTATATGATGTTAACATATATGTTATTAATTTCAACTAGGTCATAAATTTACAAATACATTAATCAAGCATTGAGGCCGACCGCAAGTATATATTGATCGCTCAACTTCAGGTGTTTTATTTGGAAGGTTTGACCATCGACTAAGCTGGAGGACTGGTTCTTCACATTTTCCATATACTTTTCAATCTTTTTCTAAAATTTATGTTTTACTGTCATCTCCTCATATTACAAATACTTTTAGAAATTCTGGAACTTTAAAATATGTTAATATTTATGTCTCAACATCACAACACAATGTCAAGATAGAACTAAATATATTAAAACTGTAACTTATGAACAAATAAATTATAGAATGATAAATAACACAACTAATTGTTAATCTAGTTCGGTGCAACGTCACCTAATCTGGGGGCTACTAAGCTAGGAAAGAAATTCACTATGGCAACATTAGTTCAAAACCTAAACAATTCTAGTTTACAACTTCTCGCCTAATAACTACCTTGTACAACTTCTAGAAACCTTCTAGATGTGAGACCCCCCTCTCACTTCCTACCAATCACCTCAGTGATAAATACAGTCACAAACCAGTGACTAGAGTCAAAATAAAAGAGTACATTTCCAATTCAATGATACTCAACTCTTTGCTTAAAATCTCGCGAGTGAGAACAAATACTTAGTTTTTCTTAAAATCTTTAAACCAAGAACAATAACTTGATACACAATAAAGTAACAAACAATCTACATCACTATATCAAAAGATACATGGGTGACTTACAAAAACACAAGAGACTCTCAAAACCTAAGACTCTAGACTTCCCCTAATTTTACAATGTGAAAGACTTGAAATACATTAGGTATAAGTTTATATTTAAATACTCCTCAGTATTCCTTGGGCTTCGAAATATTCACCCAAGTGTTTCTTGATCCACAAGCTAAGGGCTGCACCAATTATGCAGAAAAATCTCTTTAAATTCTGGAACAAAACATCAAGTTTCCTAAATTGTCTCTATCATCCAATTTTAGAAACTTATGTACAGCTGGAGATTAAATCACTTGTTCCAGATAAAATCTTCTTTACTTCCACAAATCATTGAGATATATCCAAAAGAAATATCACAAAATCAAATCAAATATGTTAAGAATTAAAACAACCTGTACTGATGTTCTAGTACAACATGTCACAACATATTGTTGTACCCCAAAATCTTCCCTCTTCATTTAAATCCTAATTTACTTGTACTTCATTATCATGTGCATACATACATGTCATTGGCTCTATACTCATGGGATCAAGGCTTTTCTCTATGAAAAGAACTGCGAAAGTTATCTATTCCGTTAAGCAGCACTGTGAAGCAGAATTCAGGGTTCTCCGCATTTAAATGCAGGCTGCACGTGTTCCAAGCTATCCAATAAGGTATTAATCAAGTCATTATCATATTAAACTCTAATGTGTTCCAACACGCTTTGAATTATGCAGAAAGTCAAGCGTTTCATTTAATTTGAGACAGTGCAGACAAAAATTTAGTATCTTGCGGTTCAAGTTCAGAAATTCATAACTTGAGATCAAAAAATGGTTTGGGAATGATTCTTCAGTCATTAGAAACATCTCGAGATCTTCTCCAGTTGATCTGTTCAGATCAAAGGCTAATTTTATGAGGAAGATTTTCTAAAGCGCAAAATACTTGAAATGCGTTATATAGTGGATTTACCGGTTTGCTAGTTTTTGGATGCTTAAAAATTCGTATTTTCTGACCAGAAGATCATCTTTTAGTGGCTCTTGAAGCATTTGAATCTTCTTGTTATTTCCTTCAATATTCGTGTTTGTCTCGGATGCAAATTAAGTGAGGAAGACTATGAACGTGCGAATACTTTGAAGATATATAGTGAAAATACCGTGAAAATATTATGCATAACCGTTGTTTATCAGATGTTCAAAAATTCATAAATTTTGCTCGGTTCGATGTTTTTGGATGGTTCTTTGGGTAAAAAATTTGTCTTTATTTTATCTTCGATTCGTATATTCCGGTTAGAAGTTAATTCTTTGCAGAAGATCTCTGAAAGTGCGAATTACCAAAGAAAATTGCACCCTGTAATGGTTTTCTACCGAACTTATTCTCGATATTGTAAAAATCGTAACTCTCTTTATTTTTATTGTATATGGATGATTCTTAAAGTGTGAGATCATAAGTTGTATGAGCTACAACTTTGCTTCAGGTCCCGAGTTCGGGTTGTGCTTCGAAGGTTTCAGTTTATGGCTTGCTTCCCAAAGTGTGCATGAAAATAAGCAGAAATTTTCAAGATATCAAAATAAGTCCACTATTTTTCCCCATTTGAAAAATCATAACTCACTCGATTTTTATCGTATCAGGGCGATTATTTAGGCACGATTTCATAAATTTCTTCGCCGACGATATTGTTTCTGGTTGCGTGTCAGGATTTCGCACCGAAAGACATGAGCTTACGGTCTATTCGTACGCAGTACACAAAATAAGCTGAAAAATCTGCACTGAATTTTTACACTGAGTGTCTCTCCATTCAGAGAATCATAAGTTGTTCAATTTTTATTGTAACAGAACAATTCTTTTTGCGCCGTGTCACAAATTTCATCATCAACATTTTTGTTTCAGACTGCACATCAGGATTTCACACCGTATGTCATGAGTTTGGGAGTTTTATGTAGACTGTGCATGAAATAAGCGGAAAAATCAATATTTTGTCAAGCCAAACAGGACTTTGGAGCCATACTATATATTTCAAAATTCAAATTTCAAACACAATAATACTCATTATCACAAACTTCTCTCAATTTTCTCTCAACTCTCTCTAAGATCAAACTCTATTCTCTAAACTTTTTTCTCAAAAATTTTCAAGAACTAAAGAACAAAAATCAACAACTTCATCTTCATCACTCTCTCCCTCCGCCAGAAACATCATCACCTCCGCAAGCTTCGACTTTGGCGAACCTTCTAGATACTCCCTTCGTCTTCTCCATGTTATCCTCCGCGGGACTTCCTTCCGTCACTGGGGATACCTCCTCCCCGCTCTCCGTCGTAACTTCAGGCCGCGGTTTCCTTCACCATAACGCATCTCCCATTGCACACGCTCCTTCCGATTTCTAATCTCCCATCTAGATTCTCTTCTTCGGTCCAATTTTTCGCCTCAACTCAGTAATATCTCAATCTTCTCTTCAATTAATTGTTGCTTTGAGTTTTATTTGCTTGAATTATGAACATTAAAGTTGATTTGAACTTAATTGATTAAATTAAATTGAATGTTGTTTGAGAATTAGTGAATTAACTTGATTCTTGAATTTCCATAATGTTGATATGTGAAATTGGTTTATTAATGTGTTAATAAATTTAGATCTTGAATTTAATCGATAAATTGATGTTAATTTTTGAATACCTATTTTTAGATCTGCATGTTGATTATGGACTTTTGAAGAGAATTAATTGTGTTTTCATGAGTTAGTGAAATTTTCGATTCGATTTGTTGATGAATTCAATTTTTAGACATAAGAAACCTCAAATCCGATAAATTGCATTAACTCTTGAATTTTGTTATATGTGATTTGAAATCATTGTTTGAATACGAATTTAATTGCTTGCAAGCGGTTGTAAATTCTAAGCGACATAGCTTGAATCATAAAAAGCTTTTGTGCTTCCGTTTGTGACTTTTGAACTCGTTTTTATCCGATTCCGATTCATGCATGTGTTGCTGCCCGGAAAATACAAACGCAGTGCAAATTGCTCCTTAAATGTTGTTTGATGCTTACTTGAGAGTATTTGTGCGTTTGTTGGTCATTAGTGTTGAGAATTATCGATTCTGGGATTATTTTTTGTGCAATATTGAAAAACGGTGTAGTGCTGTTCGATTATCTTTTTAACATGTACATTGTGATTTAATATTTATATAATGCATGTTAGTGCTTAATTGTTCAATTGTTGACCATTGATATTGAGTTTTCTCCCTTTAAGCACGATTATTTGAGTGATTCCATGAAATGATACCATGCTGACCGGCTTTGTAAATTGAGCTTCAAGTGCGATCTATTCTTTGATTCATATTATTATACTTGCCTTGGTACTTATGGGACATGTGTATTGAGTTATGACGATTTTAAATCGGTATTTTGTGCCATTCATGAGGTGATATACATGCTGCCCAAGATCTAATTTTGTGATTCTGTTGCTTGTTTGATGTTGCTTCATTCATGATAATATATCATTTTGAGTTGTGATGTTGATTGTTTGATTACAATTAATTTTCCTTGTTATATTTCTAACTCATACTGTGACATTGTGCAAGTTTCGGAAGGCGATTCATCGCACGACACATTTGTTCAGATTATTCTTTGCTTGTGTAGCATTGTTTTGTGCAGAACATTAGCTTGACATGACACACTCATTGCTTG